AATTTCCCTTTTGATGTTGTGTAAGACTCGTATGAAAATTTAGATTTTCTTTTGGGATGTAATATAATGGAACGAGCTTTTGTAATTAAGGATATTCGTAATTATTCTGTTATTATATACTTATATTCTAACACCAATATAACCCCTGACGTCGTTTACGAGACCTTATGTCAATGCCTCTTAAGATCTGTCAAAAAGGTAGTGCGCTATCACTACCTAAGAAAAGCTGGACTTAGAAGGGAGGCTAATTTGACTTCTCCGGCGATCTGGAGATCTTACTTGATTATTGACCATAGGACTCATTAGTGACTTTCCCTTGGCTACAACCAATAGCGTAGATTTGGGCCATCGCATAACCTAAGTATTTCCACCTAGAGCTTATAAACACATACAAGTTGTCTTCAAGTTTCAATGTGGGATTACCATTACAAATAAACCCACATTTTATTCTATAATAGTCCATTTCACGAACCCGAAAACGACGTCAACTTCCTATTCATTCATAAATGGTTTTCACGAACCGTTTTTACCGTGTGATTTGCCATGTGACAAGGAACACGTCACCTCTTTAGACCCACCCCAAAAGACGTATGGGCCCTACTCAAATTTGGGCTAAAAATTAACCCAAAATAAACCTATAAAACCATACTTTTTCAACAGTAGCATCATCAGCAACAAACAGTAGCCGGCGTGGGCAGACTTGCCACTTGTTTGGACTAAATTAATAAATCTTATAAATGTAATTAATTATTATTCTTACAAATATAAGAGTCGTATAATTTTTATTGATTAATATTTGAAGACCCAAAACAGTTGCAAACATTTGGTTGCATAGGGAAATTATTCAATATTCTTGGAGTATCACGTGTCTATACTCTTTAATCAATTATCATTCAATATGCTCTCTCATGTTTCCCAATCACTAAACGCAATACCTCACCTACCCACCTTCTTCACCAATCATATTGTTATGGAATACCAAGCATTTATATTTCGGAATTACTAAATAATTACCCTAGTTGCATATGTGCAAAGTTGAAAAAGTGAAAAGTAGTAGATTTTGAACGAAGTAGTAATGTTACGTGGTTGGGTTACATGAAGCGTAAGATGCGAAATTGTCTCTTTTAAAATTTATGAAAATTATATATAATTTATAGTTTCAATATAGTTTTTCATTTTTTTCCCTATAAAATATCATAAATATCCCTAAAATCTTCATATATATATATATATATATATATTGTTAAGAATCCCCTTTCATAACGCAATAATTTTTTTATTCTGTCACTGCTTTGTAATTTTTTCTAAATTTTCTGACTTCATCACTATACATTACGAATTAATAAAAAGTTTGTTGGGAAGTGAACTAAGTTGGTTAGGTGGTTGTATTCACCGTAATCACAATCTCTCTACACTAAGGCCATCCTAAAGTAACAAAAACTAGGTGCAAGATGAAATGAAGAGAACCACTGAAAACATTATTCATATTTTTAGTATATGTTGAGAACCACTTTGGTCCAATCGAAGAAAGAAAGGTGGTGAACCACTTTACAATGACAAAGAGATGTGCCTTTGTCCATATGGCAGCCAATTGATAAAAAGGTTAATTATATTAATATTCTCTTAATTATTAACGAGTAATATCCTTCTTGATGATAATTATTTTCAATCATCACTTTTTAATGAAAATTATCTTTGACAGCTAGTCACCATCTTTGACTATCGACAGTCACATTCGGCCATCATTTATCGTGGCTGGCAATACCTTCAACTACCATCAACCACCTCTAGCCAACATTTCTAACCGTTGACAAGCACTTACCACTATTTCGTACTGACCATTCTTTTTACTTATTTGTAAAACAAGTTTTAAAACACATATATATGTACAAATTATATTTTTTTTTTGGGTTTTGTTTTTGTTTTTATTTTAATAAAAAATAAACATAAACAAAGTTAATATTTTCTATAAACAAAAAATTTTAACTGTAAACGTTACTAAATGGGATCTATTGTTTGGTTCCTACTAGAATGATCATTAAATTTGTAATCAGTAATTTTATTTGAAATATACATTATTTTAAAAAAATTCCAGAATCAAACATATGAATAAATATTTTAATAAAAATGACTATTTCATGATACCTTTCATAAACCAAAGTTAGCCCGTCACCCAATTATTAAGAAGAAGAAGGAAAAAAAAAAAAAAAAAAAACTACTTTAAAGTTAGTGGACCTGCTGATTTTTCAAGTCCTCTAGACAACATTTTTTTATGCATAAATTGACTATTAGACACTTGAGACTAGTCAGGGACCACATTGGTTTTATTCAATGCAATGGAATAAGGATGGGTCCGAAATCCAAATTGAGTCAAATGGGCCTGGGTTCTACCCAAAGCCCATTTCATAGAATTGCAAGATAAGGCCCGGGCTTTGTATAAAATACGGATGTCATGCAGTTTTACGAGTTGTATTTGCTTAATAAGCACAGAACATGCCTTAAAATTAGGCCCGAGATTTATTTTCAATCCGAATTCAATTTCGGGTCAGTTCTATGTAACCCGAGCAATTTGAAACCATATTGTATATATAAATGAATAATTAGATTATATGTATCGATTATTTATATACGTGTAAAATTACAATATCTAGTTGGATTGGCATAATTCATTAAAGTCGTTGGATTAAATCTAAACATATAAATAGTTGTAAAATAAATCTAACCTTGAGAAATTGTTGTATTGAGGTAGTGAAAATTATTATTTGAATAAAGTCCATTTTAGTTGTTGTATATGAAAAAAAGCAACCAAAATTAAAAAAAGGAAAAGAAAAAAAGGCCCAGAAAGAAACCTTAACATGAGGAATATGATAAATAATATAATTAATGTAATTTGAAATATATTTATTTAAAAAAAAATGTTGAAGTCCATGATATTAAGATTTAATAAGATAAATGATATGTAATATTTTCATTATAGTTAATATCCCTCATCATTTTTATAGAGAAATTTTGATCCCGACACAGAGAAATTTCAAAAAAAATTCGATACGATCATAGAGAAATTTCATCGTGGGATCTTAACCGATAAAAAAAAATATTTTAAACCTTTCCTATTACACAAAGTTGGAGTGTAATGTCTCACTAATTTTTTCTTTAAAAAAATAGTGAGATTTGATTACCTATTTCATTATAAAAACCAATAAATTGAAATTAAGTGTTCTTCTTTGTTGTTGTCGTCCTTTCAATTTTAATTTTAAAGTTTTTTCTATTTAAAAAGATAGTGAAATTTAAAGTTTTTCTATTTAAAAAGAAAGTGAAATTTTACAATGAATTTCATAAAATAAAAAAACATTTATAATTTCATATTCAATATTAGTTATGTTTGATAGACTTCAATAGAATAAAAAAAATATTATAAAAAATTTCAAATTTTGACTTTTGTGACAAAATAAATTTTCAATTTTATCAATTTAAATACTAATATTTTATTTTTTTAATTTAAATTGTCTATTTATTTTTGTTAAGTAAAATTGTCAGAACAATTATATTTTAGTCATTAAACTCAATTAAAAAATATTTTTTTGATTATTTTATTTTAGTTATAAAAAATAGACAAATGATTTAGATTGAAAATAAATCAAAAGATTAAAAATTAAATTGATAAAATAAAAAATTCCAAAATTATTTTGTTACAAGACTCGAATCTATTTTTTTTTAAAATTGACAATTGTTTTTTAAAGAAAAGGAAAAAAGAATCTATCAGGTTGTTTGGTTTTGGTTTTCAGAAAACACTTTTCAAAAAATTATACTTTTTTATTTTTCGTTTTTTTTTAATTAATTTTTTTAATATTTTAAACAAATTTTTAAATTTTTAGACACACCTAACATAAATACACTTAAAAAATATAACATTTGTGAAAACAATTTGTAAAAAAATACTAAATACTAAAAATATAAAAAAAAAATACAAAAAATAATATATTTTTTGTATTTTTGTATATTTATTAATTTTTTAAAATATTTTTTTATAAATATTTTATTATTTAGATACAACTAAGTAAGGTGTGCATCCAAAAAAAAAATTTGCTTAAAATATTAAAAATATTCACTAAAAATAAAAAATACGAGGAATAAAAAATTCAATTTAAAAAAAATTAAATTCAAAAAACTGAAATCAAGCATTTGAGAAGTTGGTAAAAAACTAACTTTTTGATTTTTTTTATAATTTTTTGGTTTTTTTGTGTAAAATAATAGAGATGTAATATGAGTTAAAAAAATTAAAAAACCGACTTTTTACTATATTATCAAAATGCCCTTGAATAGTATTTTACAAATTTAAATTAAATTTAACGAATTGGACATTTTGATAAGCGAATCATTATTAGACATCAATTATCCTAGTAAGAAGTGTTTTATCTTTGAGTAAATAAACACACCTTTTGAGATTTATTTAAATTATAAATTATTTTTTGTGATTCTAAGAAATTATATTATGTCATCTAAGGTTTCTAATTTCATAATAAATAGGTCATTTTATTAATAAATTATCAAATTAATTAATAATTTTTAATAATGTTAAAATTTTATTTCAATTAATAATTCAAATAATTTTATTATTATATAAAGAAACAATTAAAATTTTATTTTTTAATTAATTATATTAAATTTAAAATATTTATAATTTTCAAAAAATATAAAATAATTTATATTTTAAACAAATCTTATAATTTATTCTTTATATATTTTTTAGATGACGAGGTGATTCGTCTTTCAATCAGTGTCGCAGAGTAATTAATGGGCCGCCAATTAGACCGTGATTGGTTATTGTTGGATTGGGGTCTTGTAGGGTGCCTTAATTTCAATTATGAGTAATTGAAGCTATTGGTTCAATTAAAAAACAGTGTCTTTTTCACAAAATCTTATGATGGAGATGAATTTTAAGATAAAAAATCCATCTCTTGATTCGTGTCCTAATTTTCTAAACACACTATTATTAATTTCAGTCTTCACCCACATCTTTATCATATTTACCAAAACAGACCTTCTTCATCATCCAGCTCCCCTATTACCCCCTGTTCCCTCATCAACAGGGTAATACATATACATATATAGATATAGATATATACATGTAGCTGTATGTATGTATGTATGTATGTATGTATGTATAATCTATGATACACAGATCACGATCACAAATCTCTGACATTTCTGATCTGGATATTATATTATTGTCACAAAATCCAAAAATTTGCAATCTCTCTCTAAAAGTTCACTCTCTCTCTGAGTCCCAATTAGGGTTTCTGAAATCCAAAAGCTACCTATTTATGTATACATCAGTGGCCATTGAAGTCTAGCTTTTGACAATTTTGCCTTTTTTTTGTTTTTTGTTTTTTTGATGTAATATGAGATTGTTGTTGATGTTGAGAGTTGTTTGTGAGTATTGCTGTGATGGGTGTGGCTAAAGCTTGGAGGTTTGGCAATGGAGTGTTGAGCAATCTGAGTTTGGGTCATCTCCATAATAAAAAGCAGCATTTCTGGTCCAGATTGTCTTCGCAGAGAAGGCCGGTGTCGAGGTCGGTTGTGTGTGGATTGATGCTATTTGCGTTGGGTTTGATTTCGTTGTTCACTGGCCATGTCGCTTCTGATCTTGAATGGTACTCTCAGAGGCTGATGCTCCGGAGTTTGTTTTATAAACTTGTAATTTTCACTCTCCCTCTCTCTCTCTCTCTCTCTCTCTCAACACATATGTTCTGAATTGGAGCTGAATTGGGTTTAATTTGTTTTAATTGTCATTGTAATCCATGTATTTCTCTAATCTTGTGGAATTAGAACTCATATGTTGGATTTAATCTTTTTTTTTTTTTTTGGAATATTGTATGAAATTCAACTTTCATATCTTGTTCAAAATGTCGCCGGAAAGTATATGGAGTCTGTCAATTTCTGTTGTTTGTAGCTGTCTCTCTGTTTCTAATTCATTTCGTAGTGAAACTGAACTGCATAGAATAAGCACTTGGTAAGGACATGGAAGAACCTCCCTAGAACAGTTTGTTAACAGAGAACCAAACCAAACAGAAGGAGAAGCAAACAACCAAACAAAGAAGAAGAAACCAAATAGGAACCAAATACCAAATGCCACCAGAGAGGCTTCAACCCAAGATTTCTCTCAACTTGAGTTCTGATATCATGTTAAGTCACTGATAAGCTGTTAGGAAATGGGCCAACAATAGTATCCACCTCAGGCTGTTTCTCTTTTGTCTCTCATTTCTTTATTACCTCCACATGCGACTAGGTTGCATGTGTGGTTTAGTGTTAGTCTTAGAGACTTATCTCACATCATCTTTCCATACTACCTAAGCTTGGTCTATATAGTCTAGAGGCCTCTCCACCTAATGTCAATTAGTTTTGGGTTCAATGCCTCCAAAATTCTAACGGATGGGATTGATTCGTAGTTTTCACATTTATTGTTGTTTTTGAGTTGGGTATGAATGCTGCAGCACAATAAATTGATGAAAATTCTGCTGGTTGATGATGCGCTGCTAATAAACTGGTGAGCTAGGTTGGTGGAGTTGCCTATTAGTGTTCATCATCACATGTAGTCTCATTGTAGGCACTTTTGGTCAAATGAGTAGAGCGTGAAATTGAGATGAGAAAATAAATATATATGAATCGTTCACATATGATGATATTCATGGTGGTGGGTTTTTTTGTGTGCTTTTAGTTGTATTGTCCTCGAATAAATTTTTCATCTTTGAGACCCAGTTGAGCATGAACTATCTCAGTATTGCTACATACAAGACTGTTCATTTTATGATCATTATTTCATCATGTGTTGTGTGCACATGCTGCTTGATGTTTATGTATGTATATGCTTTTGTGTCTAAGGGTTGCTATATGGAGTTCAATTCTGCTTTGTCTCATCGTGTTTAGTGCTATGCTGACAAAAATATTACTAATCTTGCATTGTAGGACGGGGGCTATCATGCACCAATTAATATTTGGAAATCAAAATTTTCAAAATTTTACTATGGATGCAGTGACAGAGGGCCTCATTTTTCTTGTAAGTTAGCTTATCAATTTAATTGTTTATAGCATAGAGACTTTCACATATACAACTAACAGTTTTTGACTTGACTGTTCATATTGTGATCTGTACAAACTCTTATACTTTTACGTTGTTCTGCTTTGGCACTTTGCTAATCTGAAAGCCAAAACAGAAAAATCTTACTTTTGTTTGAAGTGCTGCTGGCATCTTTTATTGTACTATTGTAGTATTATGATTGTTGGGTGTACCAGTTTGCTTAACATTTATGTTTCAGCCATTGATTGGAATGTGCCTTTCATGTTTGCAACTGTGAGCAATGTTGCTTTGTGGTCATTGTACCCAGGGTTCTGCTAATTATCTCGAAGATCATCTTCAAGTCTTCGTCTAGATGTTAATAATGGGTTATGGCAATGGGTTTTTCCCAGTAGAACAATATTATCTGTTCGTGAGCATCATTCGCTTAAGTGTAATTTTTAAGTGATTTTTCTTGCTGGCAGTTTTGTTCTAGAAGTTTACATATTGAAGTCAGAGTAGTGTCTTCCAACTGGAGTTTCCTCTCCGAAGTTCACTTTTTCTATAGGTCATAAACACTCGACTCTCTTTTTCTTTTAGGCTTAGTAGAGGGTAATCTTTTTCTGATTATTATTTAAGACCATTATCAATTTCAAGATCTCTTAGTATGATGACTTTGCTACATTTAAGTAACACAGTTATTGTATCATTGGAATTAGAGGTTAACACGTGCGTGGTGGGAAACGTTTTGTTGGCCAAGAATAGGACTAATTTTTATTTTCTACACATTTTTGGGCAGAAGGAATTTTCACCTGATGCCTTCAATGCAGTTAACCACTGATATACCTTCTATGCATGCTTAAAAAGCCACACAAGCACTCTTTCAGTTTTAACTCTCTAATCATATCTTCATTAAATATGCTGGAACTTTTCTCTTTCACATTTTACTTCGAGAAAAAGTATGTCACTATCGCTGTCTCTTCGAGTCTCGAATGCTTTACTGATGCTGTTTCTCTTTTTGCCACTTATTGTGTACTGTCAGTCTGTCACAGATGCAATTTTAGGTGTTATGGAATAATATCTGGTGGATTCAATTGAGTTTTGACTAAATTCTCTTTAGTAGAAGCAAAGCAGCAGTTTTTCCCCCTTAGTTTGCCCTGCATTGTCTGTTGATATTTCAGATTTGTTGAGCTACCTCTGTCTCATATTTTGGGTGGTTTTTCCACTAATATTTTTAGCATGTAACCATTAAAAAAAATTGTGCTAATGTTGCTAATTGTGAAACACAGCTCCGGTACGTGAGCAATTTTCAAATGGCTATTTACTTATTGCAACAAGTGGAGGCCTGAATCAACAAAGAACCGGAGTATGTAAAAATATCTTTTGAGGGTTGATATCACATTTTAAAATACTTAGACCATCTCCAACGTTTCACCAAACCTGGCATCAAATTTAAAATTTGGTGAAAAAAGCACTTTTTGGAGCTCCAACAGTTTCACCAAATTGATATCAAATCGAGAATTCACCAAACGTTTCACCAAAATAAGAACAGGCTCCGCATTTCATCAAAACACTGTGCATGACCGTTGGGGGAGACCAACCGGTCGACCAGCCGGTTGACCAACCGGTCGACCACCAAAAGGTTCAAATGGTTCCAAAAAAAGGTTCAAACAGTTGAAAAAAAAAATTTGCCTTACCAGTCGACCACTAAAAGGTTCAAAAAGTTTCCCCCCAAAAAAAAAAAAATTGGCTTAACCGGTCGACCAACCGGTTGTCCCGGCGCAGATTTGATAAAAATCAACCGTTGGAGCACTCGGTATCAGATTGAGAAAAAAGTCATTTTTTTACTCAGATTTGATGAAAATTTTGGTGAACCATTGGAGATGCTCTTAGTTATCATTTACTGTTCTATTTAATACACCAAGAGTTACAATCTATTTCCTGCACTCAGATCACTGATGCTGTAGTTGTAGCACGGATTCTCAATGCTACTTTAGTTGTACCTGAGTTGGATCATCATTCATTCTGGAAGGACGATAGGTAAGCTGAAATTTCATCCTCTTGCACTTGCGTATAAGCTGTATGGTTATTTACTGACAGAAAAAAGAGCACAAGATAGTAAGTTTATGATTTTGTTCATCATCAGAATAGTGTGAATTAACTTTACGATTATGTTTTCATTGAAGATGCCTTGTTTGCATGCAGTGACTTTCTCAACATCTTTGATGTTGATTGGTTCATCGCGTCCCTTGAAAAGGATGTAACCATTGTAAAAAGAGTTCCAGATAAAGTCATGAGATCCATGGAAAAGCCCCCATATACTATGCGCATACCAAGGAAATCGGAACCTGAGTATTATCTGGATTTTGTACTGCCAATACTCCTAAGGAGAACTGTAAGAGAACTATGTAACTCACAACATTGTAGTTACTAATTTCATATTGAATTAATCAATTACAAGTAATTCCTCTTCTTTTTTTTCCATTTTTTTTTTGGGAGAAAGGTAAATGTACATAAGTTGGCACATATGTATGTATATACAAAAGTATATATGAGTGTATGCACATGTGTACCAAAATGATAGTACTCCTGGTTCATTATAACTGTTAATACAGCTTTTGTTTCCTTTCTGTAGTCACCTGAGATCCCTGATTAATTTGGTTGTCATGCTGGGAAGTATCTTTTTTGTCATTTATGAGACCCTGATTGGTGATGGTTTGCACAAAAAAATATGCAGGTTGTGCAATTGACAAAATTTGATTACAGACTTACTAATGACCTTGATGATGAGCTACAGAAGTTGCGGTGCCGGGTCAACTATCATGCTTTAAGATTTACAAAATCTATACGACTCCTTGGTCAGAAGCTTGTCTCAAGCATGAGGAAGATGACAAATCGTTTTATTGCAATTCACTTGAGGTTGTCATTTCTACTTGATATATTGAAACATGAGCAGATATTTGCTTAATGTATTCACCACACAAATCTTCAGAGCAATGTCAGTGAAGTTTCGATAGAGCACTTATGTTTCGTGCCGAGCTAATTTTTTTCCTATCCATGTTATTTGTTCTTTTGCTTGTGAGTTCTAAAAGACAAACTATTTCCATGGCAGGTTTGAACCTGATATGCTAGCATTTTCTGGGTGTTACTACGGTGGGGGTGATAAAGAAAGAAACGAGCTTGGTGAAATAAGGAAACGGTGGACAACGTTACCTGTGAGATTGCAATACGAGTTTTCATCTCTGTTTTTTCTTGTTCATCTCAATGCAACCATTTCGATGATGAAAAATGTTCAGTTTTTGACTTGTAAAAGTTAAATGTTAAAACATTTTGATGTAACCTGCTAGTGAATTTTCTTTACGATAAAAGATCTATAGCATTGAACTTATCTAGGGTACAATAGGGAATAACTTTTGTTCTATATTCCGTTATTTACAAACTGCCTTATTTTATTTTATTTTTCCTGTACAGGATTTAAGTGCTGAGGAAGAGCGAAAGCGAGGTAAATGCCCACTTACTCCTCATGAAGTGGGTCTGATGCTCCGTGCACTAGGTTTTAGAAATGACACATACCTTTATGTTGCATCTGGTGAAATATATGGTGGAGAAGAGACTCTGCAGCCTCTCAGAGAGCTCTTTCCCAATTTCTACACCAAGGATATGCTTGCCAGTGAAGAGCTGAAACCTTTTCTTCCCTTTTCATCTCGTCTAGCTGCCGTTGACTACATTGTGTGTGAAGAGAGTGATGTCTTCATCACTAATAACAAGGGAAACATGGCCAAGATTCTTGCAGGTCGAAGGTAAGAATTCAATCTGTTTATTATCTATCCAAAAGAAATAAAATAAAAAGAAAAAGAAAAAAAAAGACGAATTCAATATTGTATATTTTGTGGCCCTACTTTTAGGGTAATTATTCAATAGTCTTGAAGCATCATGTGGCATTGTCTACGTGGTCCTCCAAACCAATCGCCTCACTGTTAGGAGACAAGGATGACCCAATTAGTGTGTGTTGCAGTTTCTCATTAGTCAAGAATACCACATAGACAATCCCACATAGTTTTCCGGGAGTATCTATTAATTTTCCCCGCTTTGATGAGGTTGAAGTTTGAACAAACATTCTTTTGTCGAGGAAATGTGAATTCTGTTTGAGTTACTTTATAAATCTAATTCTGAAATAACTTTGCTCTGGCAAACCTAACAAACAATAGATAAGAGAAAACATACATGCAATAAGCATAATTGTGACTAAAGAAGCGAGGTATTATGTGGTTCATCTGAGATAATGCAGGAATTACTATCGTAGTACATCACTTTTAAAGAGTAATTTCAGTCCTTGTCACCTTTGACTCTGTAATTGTGTTATATTTTCAAAAGTATTAGGAAAATCTCGTACTTTGGACAAAATATGTTCTTGTAATTTTAAACCTTTTTGGTCTAAAATTATTCCCCAAAATTCAATTGATTCTTTTTCTAATTCAATCTTTTTTGGAGACAAAATAATTCCATGTTTTTGGAATCTTTCACAAAGTAATTTTAAATGTTTCTTATGCTCCTCCTTGGTTTTAGAGAAGATAAGTATATCATCAATATAAACTACACAACAATCTTTAAGATCCTTAAAAATTGTATCCATCCACCGTTGAAATACCTGTGGTGCAATATTTAACCCAAAAGGCATAATATTCCAGTGGTAATGTTCTTTTCTTTTAAAGTAGGATGTGTGTTCAATTACTCAAGAACACTACAATGGTGTGTTGGATCATGGATGTACTATGTGGGGAAATTGTGTGAGTCTCGGTAGGGTTTATGTTGCTATCCTTAGAAAATAAAGAATTAGGGATGGCAACAAGTTCCTTTACAGATAGAATGAGTAAGGTGACTAACTTTCTTCTATTTATATCGGACAAAAGGGTATGGATGTGGGATCGTTAAAATATTTCCATTTTCATTTCGTACAAGGATCATCTGATAGAACCCTACGCCCACATTAGAATGATTGTATGTTGGCCATAGAGCATTCTCTAGAGTTCATTTGGTATTATTGGATCCCCATTGCTATGACCACAGAGCTATTTGTTTGGTAGTATTGCATGCCATTCCATCCCCATTGTTAGGATTCTGTAACACTTAACCAAGATCAGTGAAACATGAAAACACAGAAATGAACAAATGCACGTGAAAGATAAATCACACGTACACTAAGAACACAAGATTTATATGGTTCACCCCAAACTAGGGCTATGTTTACGGTTGTTGTGGTTTTTACTATGATCATAAAGGTACAACTTACAAGAGATATCTGCTTTCCCTCAACTATTACTAGATAAATAAAAAAAAAATTAGGGTAATAGGTCACAAGTGCGGAAATAACATAAATACCCTTACTCCGAAATTCAGGATGTCCATGGTTGATTTGCATCTACGGTCAAGTGGCCAGTGTCCAGTACTTATCAAACTCCACATGACCCCAACACCCATTGCTGACATTTTGTTAGTATTGTTGCAATTGTTGGTTCCTTATTGTTGTTCTTGTTGCTGTCATTGTCGTTGCCTTTCTTTATAGTTGTCGTAGTCAACTTTTTCCTTACTTGCCTAGGACACTTATTTCTCTTTTCATGGTTCAAAGGAGGTACATGGGTCATAAGAGGACTATCAGACCAAATGCAAAAAAGCTTAGTGCTTTGTTTATGGCACGTGATCATATGGACTGGGACACATTTGCTACAAAGGTCAAGTCGTGCCAGAGAGGATTCATGGGAGAACCAGAGGAAATGAGACCTGGACATGACGAGTTTCATGAATATCCATCAGCCTGCATCTGCAAGAAACCATTCAACTACTCTGATGTCGAGAATGATGATGAAGGAGATTTGACCTCAAAAGAACCGTCCCAGAACCAACTTTTGCACATAAGAGGATGATGATAAAGAGGTGAAGAGCTTGCAGAGACTGAACAAGTCAAGTGCAAGCAATGAGCCGGTGGTATCTTTAGCAGGAGACACTGACAATGAAGAGTTTTTCGCAGACTATGTATAAAACACCTTCAAATGGTGTTTTGTTGTCTATCAGAGCTAGTGTACACCTTTAAAAATGCCGGTTTTAACTCAGCACGGCATTGAGGCTGAAGTCACACAACAAGTGGCATCTGGTTTGTGTCTAATACCTAAATTTTGGACTACCCAATTGAAGTTGTATAGGAATCTGTGATTTGTGATGAGCTGCAAGTGTTCAGATATGTATGTTTGTAAGGTTACAAAGCAAGTAGGTATGCCAAACATATATTATTGCTCCTTAACAAAATTTAATTTTTCCAGGTTTCTACTTTCTTTTTAACTGTAGTTGGGAATTTTCTTGGACATTCAAACTTAGCAAGTTCAAAATTTTGTATGGTTATAATTTAGCAAGTTTTTCTGTTGTAAAGCACAATCAGAAGGTTTTCTTTAAACAATCGACAGATGGATAGCGAGATATGAAGTTGCATTATGTGACAATGGACAGTTTCAATGCATGAGGCTAAATTAGATGCATGGAATATTACTTCTGCATACCAAAAGAATTGATTCCGTGATTTGAACACATGATGTTAAATCGCAACAGAGCAACCTTACAACAATGCCAAAGAGTTTTGCATGCAACCCAGCAGTATGCACTTTCTGCAAGTGTCGTCATTATCACTTTCAACCTTGCAACAATGCCAAAGAGTTTTGCAAGCTACCCGTCATTATCACTTTCAACCTTGCAACAATGCCAAAGAGTTCTGCAAGCAACCCAACAGTACGCACTTTCTGCATGTGTCGTCATTATAACTTCCAGGCAAACACAGATCATCAAAAGAAGCTTTTAAATCACTTATCGATTGGTGGCTGATCTTCCAGGCAAACACAGATCGTCAAAAGAAGCTTTTAAATCACTCCTCAATTGGTGGCTGATCGCTGTAATAACTGGCACCGTTTAACTGTAGCTAGGCCATTACTAACAATACATGCATCATCTAACAACATACTTGCCTGAAAACATGCTTGATAGTAATTTAACTTTCTTGTTTTTTAGGAAAGTAATTTAACTTTGTGTATACATGTATATATATAAGAGAGCAGAAAACAAAACATAATTAAAAAACACGACCCCATCAAAGCTACTCATCAATTGAAGCGTCTGAGAAACATTCTGCAATTTTAATCAAACTACAAGGAGAATTTACCATCTACAGACCCCTATTACAGTGAATCCTAGGTAGAGATCACAATCATAGTTGTGCATGTAACTAAAATCAATATGAACATCTCTACAAACTAAATTTTACACAGCTGAACCTTCAGGAAGCGAGAATTTCCATTCCTAGTTTCTTCTTCTACTATAAATATACACAGGCACTCTGCTAGGTCTTCTGGTCATCCAACATCCATGGAATCTCTTTGGTTCTGATACCCATCATTTTGGAATCTCCAGTCAACCATGGTTATTTCCTGTTACAGACCAAACAAGGTAATCAGTTTAGGTGTCGTTTTATAACATAACATTGTCGAATTCCTGTTTGTGTTTATGCCAAAATAAAGGAATAAATATAACTTGTTTGGGATACACAAAAGGTTTGAAAACAAATGAAAAAACAAAAATGAAGAAACATGATTGGTGAGTTACTAGTTAGTGTCTAGCGGTGGAGGGTGGACAGATGTGGTGATCAGAGGAGTTAGTGACCAGAGTGTCCGGAACTGGAGGCCATGGGGTGGCTGGAGGTCACGTGGTGACTGTTCAATCGTGGAAGCCCATAGGGAGCTGTCTGAAGCTCTTCTGAACTTGCCGGAGAGTCACCAGTGGCTGGCCAGTGGTTGCCAGCAGTGGTTGGTGGTGGCAGATGGCCGGTGGTGATGGGGAAAGGAGAGTGAAAACTTGTTTTGGAAACAAGTGAAAACACCTTTTCTGTTTTCAAAAATTTTGGAATCAATTCCATATTTTGAAAACAAAAATGGAAACGTTACCAAATGAGGCCTTAGTTATCATTCTCCATAAAAGGCATCCACCCACACTCTAATCTAATTACTTGCTAACATCCTACCTTGTGCCAAAAAGAAAAAGAAAAAAAAAAGAGGCCATTCTCCGCAGGTGAATACTGAGTTAGTGTGTCAGTTAAACTTCAAGATTTACCTTTAGAAGTAGTACCCCTGTTCTGGTTTCGGTGACTTTTGTCATGTGAAACAGCAACGGAATCTTCGAGATTATCAGGGAGCTCTGCAAACCTTCTAATAACTGTAGGCAACAACAACATCAATAAGCAAGAACTCCATAGGTGAATACTGAGTTGTGTATATAACACGAGGTATCATCAACTTCACAATATCATTATAAGTTGCCCTGATGACTGTAGTATACACAAACAATATTTACTGTTTAATTATAATTTAACTTTACAAAATCAAACAAAAAATGGAGCATGATCAGAAACAGCTCTACATGGTGCAGATCTTACTGCTAAATACACAGAGGGGCTGCATCTAATATAATGTGAACACAAACAACCATGAGTCACAATATGAAACCACACAGTTTACACAGATTAACAAAACACAGGAATATTAAACTAAAGTTTGGCTTCATAACAGGAAGATTGGACACAGAATTTACATAGATAATTGGGTACATACAGCTACTGGCTAAATCAATGTACTACAGATTATAAACATAATGATTTACTTTACACAATGCAAATAAGAATATACCTCTTTTCATTAATATAATGCTAGCAAACAAGGATGAGGCTAATACAGAACTACTACAGGAGGTGCCTAGTGTCAAAAGATGGTTAACATGACCTCTTTCTTGGGATATAAATTTCTCCAGAATTTCGGAACTCTAAATCCACAAGCACTAGATTATTATTTTAGTATTAATCCTAAGCCTTAAATTCACTATCATAATTCCATACAATTAAGAGTATGACCAAACATGTAAGGCTTCCATGCACGAGCACCCATAATAGCATAAACAACCACCCTGTTTTCATCAGTGTTCATGACTAGATCAGTTTTCATGGATGGAGAAAATCATAATTATGACTACCAATACAGTTTGACAGCAATGAATACAGAATGAAATATGGAAACATGCGATATCAAGATGCATAAACAAACAACCCAAGACTCACCCTTGATGTTGGTTGAATTCTGCGATTTGATCTACGTGGCTCCACACCTTCAAGATTTGACTTTCCTGGGTTAGCATTGTTAACTTTGTCCGTCACCTCAACTTTAGCCAACTTTCCGCTAGAGGGTGCAACTTTTCCTCTATTCACCCGCTCAGATTTGGCATTTGACGTGGACGTTTTCTTCGAAGGAGCATCAGACGGAAGAGCAAGTGAAGAAAACAAGACTGGACCTTCTGCAGCCCCTTCGGTGTTTGAGAATGATCCAAATTCCATCAGGCTCTGTTGTCCCAATTCATTATCGTCAGTACTAACAGAATCCTTGATCATATGATCCACTGAAGAGGCATCATTTTGAGCAGATAGTGCAGAGGTCGAAAACTTATCCTTCTCAGCTAGGGTTCTACCTGAAACACTCTGTGATTTTCCAGACTTAAGAACCTTAGTCTTGGATTCAGCTGCCTGCTTCTCCTTGTCATCAATTTTAGTATTCTTTGATCCACGAGATCGCGATCCCTGAGGCATCAAATATTTTGCAAATTTAGCTGAATCATTTGATTCATTAATTTTACTGCTGCTCTCTGCAACATAATGCTTGCTTACTTCCATAAATTTCCTTTTCTTTCCAGGTTTAGGAACACCAAAAATCACTCTTGACCCTTCTTTCTGCAGACCAGTCCGTGCTGTTCTAAGAGCGTTTGGCTTATTCTCACGTCCAGTGTTCTTACCAACATTAAATATTTTTTCATTGGCAGATAATGGCAGTAACCGTGACTTTACTGATTTCCCAGATTCCACAAGTTCAATATTTTTAGACATTTTTACCTTCTCTTTGCCTTTCTATTGCAGGAATGCCCAACTTCAATCGCTTTTCCTGTGGTGTATCACCCTGAAAAAAAGCAGAAATAAAACTAAGTAACAAATAACCCACAAACTTAGATATTATCAAATCATTGTGAAGCATATACACATGTAAACATAAAACCTGAGAAGAAGGGTCCTTTTCTCTTGAACTGGACCATTCAATCCACTCTCCGTCCTTCCAAACTAGTGTTGGCCGTAGATGCCACACTTTAACAACTGATGTTTGCCCTTCAGCTACAACAAAATCATATAGACGTTCATTTAATGACTAAGCAACCCAGGAAGTATCATTGTCTCCATTAAACAACTTGATGCATTAATTAACCAATATGATTTGACTACAAATACCTGGAAAACGGACGGTTAATGTAGTATCATCCTTATTGTTCTTTTCTGTGACAACTCCCTCTCGCCAGCTAAAACACAATAATAAGATAAGCAAGGATAGAAATAGTAAGACACCTGCGGTTAAGATGTATCCTTGTGCAAGAACAAACTCTTTTGTAGCACTTCAGAAGAAAAAAAAAAATCTTCAAAAAAAAACCTTGATTTGAGGCCAACAAAATTTCCATAGTAAATACCCATCAAGTATGTGGATCATAGTTGGTAGAATCATATGTGTTAAAAGGCATAGATATATGTCTGTAAGACAGGTCTCTTACAGAAGAAATTTCCGCATAGTTGTGCCTCATTGAAAACAGAGAAACTATTTTTCTTCATACTCATCAAAAATAAGATGTGCTACATCACTAACATTTTGATAACGTACTATATTACAACCATTTTCATAACATAATATACAGAAATAACCTAGCACTATCATACTTAAAGCCTGTCAATGTTACCACATGTGTAATACTAAGATATTTAAGTCCTATGAGAATCAACACAGGAAAAAGGAATAATAAGAGGACTTGGTTATTTTGGTTCTTAAATAGATAGCAAATATATGAAGAGAATCCAAAGAGAGATGGGGGAATAAATTAAAAAAAGAAAAACATGAGAATACCCCTAAAGGATGATGACATCAAATGGAAAGGGGGAAAAGGAACCAATGAAAAGTTCTTTTAAAATTCTAACATCAAAATTCATTCTTGCCTCCATGAAAACAAAAACAAAAAAGAGAGAGAGAGAGAGAGCTTAACCACCTTAACAGTGCTCAATCCGCTGTCAATCAGTGTTCATGCCTTTGCATCACACTTTTTAGCTATTAATTAGCATACAGCAATCACATAAAACATTTCATAGGTAAAATGATGGAAAGAAGAATAATCCCACCTAAACAGAATAATATGCTATAAAAACTATCATGCTTACCAATCTTGTATCCATACATCAACTCTATCTCCAACAGACCACACATAATCACCCACGGCCGCTCTGCGTCTCTTCCTAGTTCCTTCAAAACGCATGGTGGTCATAGGATGGGCAATGCGTATTCTGGGTGCATTGCTGGCTTCACCTTCAAGTGCTACCCATTCCTTTAGCTGCCCTGAACCTGAACATACAGAGTATAATGAGTGAATAGTGGATCAAAAGATACCCTAAAAAGACAATCACACCAGAAACGAAATTTTCTAAACCCTTCATTTTTTCACCTTCAACTATGAAGGTTAACCTGGGCAACAACTCCAATACTCATGCTCAATAGAGTGCAAGCTGACCACAAATTTACGTTCACAAAAGTACACAAAACAATCAGTGTTGTGTCTTCTAAACACCATAATACCGAATAAGTAGGCAAACTTGCCAATTTTTGACAACGTTATGGGCAATACCAACCATATTTCTAAGGCAACTTGCCCAACCCTCATATTTTCCCAATATCACTAAGGTCCGGGCATTGCAGCTGTAAACAGACATCCGTGCACTGGAAAAACATTAAAGATACTAACGCTGTCATGTCAATTAAAACACCTAAACAGACAAACCTGATTCACAAGCCAACATGATTTCCAGTGCATAGGGCCGGTGAAGATGAAAAATTCAGTGCCTACAGAACAGCACACATACAGCATGCATCCCTAAAAAATGTCACGCACAAGCAAACTTGCCTCTGCAACACTCACATAAGTGCACATAGTCTAGCCCCCCCAAAAAAATAAAAATAAAACCTCACCTCAGAAGTCAACTAATTCCCTACAGATCATATTGTAGCAGCTTACCTTCATCTGATTGGAGTTGAGTGTAACAAACAAAAGCTTTTCCATCCTTCAAACTCAAAACATTGGCCGAGAACCAGGTTGTTTTAAACTGATCACTATCTTTACAAACCTAAAACATCAAATAGCTGGATTAATACAGATTTAAAGATCAAAAAATGCATATCCAACAGCAAGAAACAAATTGCTAAAACAAAATAGTGTATGCAAAATCTTCAAACATGGCAAAGAATAAAAAAAATATCTGTAACTGCAACAGCAAGTTGAATATATACACAGTTCTCTGCTATTTTAAATGGTCGCAAGCTCAACCAATTAATATTTACATAAAATTTCACGTCACAAACCTCAACCAAGCAACCTTCCTTGATGCTGTTCTCCTTTGAAGTCCCTACTCCCTTCTCATACTTATCCTGAGCTGTGATAGAAGCAGATCTAGATCCAATCTCAGATTCAGGAACAACCCCTATGGTTTTGGCCAAGTCAGAAGCTCTACGACTCCTTTGCCCTCTTGAATCTTTTTCACTGGTTGTAAAGGAACTTGAGATGCCATTCACTGCCCTTGTATGATCCTCCCTGCAAACCTCTCTTGAAAGAGGTGGCAAACCATGGCTTGTAGTCTTTGCCTCCTCTAATCGTCCATCCTTGGCACGTCTACCAAAAACATTAAGACCTTCTCCAATGCTATCTGCTTTAGAACGTTCTCTATTATCGTTATTCAATGTAACACCCTGCTCAGAATGCACTTGTGGAACTCTCCAGTAGCCCTCCGGACCAGCTTCTACTAACTCATTCAAAGGCAAAGAATCACCCATAGCAACAATTTTTCCTGCTTGTGAAACGGCTTCTGCCGCCAGCTCTGCAGCTTTTACTATGGCATCCAAGTTTTCAGCATGTTTTGAGGCAGCTGAAGCAGCTTCAACCCTCCTCTTAGCAGCTTCTCTAGCAGCAACTATAATGGAACTAGAAAAGTTGCTCCCATCCCCTCCTCTCAAAATGGAAGCAGGAGTAGCCTTTCCCAAATTGTTCATGTCAGAAAGAGAAGCTGCATTACTCTGAGCAGGATTGTTTGTTTCACTAGAGGTCAATGCTTCATCTGCCATCAATTTTGCTTGCAGTGCAGCATTTGATGCCAGCTTAGCAGCTGCAGCTGCTGCCTTTGCAACAGAAGCAGCTGCTGCTACTGCAACAGCCGCAGAAGCTAACTTAGCTTCAATATCTGGAATCAATCCAGAATTCTTCGGCTTATCCAACTGATTCCACACTCTTTGACTATGACTAACTGCAGCAGCAGCGAGAGCAGCTGCAGCCTCCGCCTGCTGTTTAGCCTCCTCAACTTGACTAAAAGTCTCCTCTGATACTATAACCTTCTGCTCTGCATTATGTTCTCTTTTTGGGTGATCAGTGGAAGATGTAGGAGATACAGCTGTGACAATCTTACTAGCATTTCCTTTAGATACAAAGCAATCTGGCGTTGAGACGATGACTGATGTAGACAAATGACTAGTAACAACAGGAGCACATACTGACTCTGTCCAAGTTTGAGTTGGAAAAGAGATCTGGCCAAGATCCTCAGAAATAGTAACCTTTTTCCTTTTTCTGGCCTTAAGAGTAGTGGAATTCTGACCAGGCAATGCGTTCATCTTTTTCATGTCAGGCAATGAAGAAGTCCCTGAAAGAACATTCGGACCCAAGCTATGAACCATGGTACTAGGAGATGCATGCTTTGTTCCAGAGGAAAAAGGAGCAGATAATTCTTTAACAGGGGCTAATTTCACTGTATCTGCCATAGGCAAAACAGAGAACTGAGCACTGGCATCAAAGGCAGAAGTCTGTGGAGAAGCAACCCAGGGACCAGGAAAAGGTGCCTGAGATAGCCAAGAAGCGTTATGTCCAACAAAACTACGTGCAGGTGGAGTTTGAAATGGAAGCAAGGAAGGAAGTGTTTGACGGTAATCAAGAAGACCAGTTCTTGGCATGCCACTGGACTGCAAACCATCAGAGGTAGTTGATATATTCCAAAGCGGTGAAGAAAGAGGCATCATAGAATTAACTGGTGAAGGGGTACCCCTGCTACTTGCTTGACCAAGTGGTGAAGGAACCACTTTACTTTGATGTGCACCTCGTTTAATTGATTGATCAGGAGTCTTAGCACCTGCATTTCTCGATTCTGAAAAGCAGTTAGATGTCAACCAACCTTGATTCGGGAAAGAAAAAAAAAAAAAGAGCTCAAAATCCAAAGATACCTGAATGTGGTTGCACAGGGGTTTCGGATTTGTTGGGATGGGATTTCTGTCTTTCCACACAAAAGCGCCAAACAGGCTCCCAAACACTCCTCCCGCCATCTATAATAGAAATCATCAGACACCAATCATCTCTCTTCTAAATTCATCTCAAGAAATGATACAGATGTAGGGCTAATAAACTAACCAGATGCTCCAAAGGCTGAAACCATACATGGCTCATCAGGTGCTGCTCCTTGTCTGTAACAACAATATCACATTTAAATTTCATATAACAAACATATCAGAGATATAACATCACAAGCTTTTGGCAAAATTCAGTCTGCGCGAAAAACACTATATCACCTTCAACAACCTCTAATAATTAATAGTTTATAACTTGCTAATCCTTATTAACCAGTGAGTTTTTGAGGAATTAACTTGATTAAATGGTAGAAAATTATATTTAGTAATTTATAAAGTCTGGAAAATCCTCAAGAACTAATTAAAATTAGAAATAATAAATTTTGAATGTGCATATCATATAAAATTATAAACAGCATCAATCTAATAATAGCAAAGACGAAGGTTCCTTACATTCACTATAAAGCCTCTTTTTTTTCTTTCTAAAAAAAGAAAAATTCATTGCCCTTGGAAATTTGTCTGTATGTACTATTTTCCAGTACTAAAAATCATGTATTTGTGTACAAGTTTCTCATTAATGTTCACAAGCTTTTCATTAATGAAACCAAAGAGAAACTTATTATTTACAATGCCATTAATCAAGAACATTTGGGACTGCCATGAATATTAATTATTAGAGGGTTAGTTGTATTAATCTAAAAACCACTACTCTCCCATCTTGTCAAAGATGATGCACTTAACCAATTCACTGACAAGTTTTTCCTGACAATCAAATGACAACATCCTAAAATTTCTGAAACCAGTATCTCTAAGAGATAATTGCACTCTCTTTATGCATCCTACTGGCATGGCAATGTTACGAGTGTAGTCATGAGGACCCGGGCCAGAGCCACAAAGTCAGTAACTCCTAGTCCAACCTTTGTTTTTTGGCCCACAAAGTATGTATATGTACGCAGACAATGAAAGGACTCACATCAGAGATCCATAAACAAAGATCTGTGCTCGCAATTGCACTTGCTGTACATCTGTGAAAGGCTGTTGAAACAATGGCGATGGCAAAGCTGAAGAGTTCAAATCTGGCAAATTGCACGTGGGAATAGAAACAACACCAACATTCCCATAAGGCTTCAACCCTTCAAACTGCACAACCTGACCAGTCCTAGCGGGGCTTCCAGACAAACTGCCTGACTTATCTCCTCTTTCAGACAGCCTCACAGCAGTTGTTTCCTTTCCTTTTTTAGCATTTTCTTTCCCTGTTGCCCTACCAGATGCTCGCCTTGTTTTACGCTCAGGGGTACCTTTGGAACCTCCACGTGCAAACTTCCCATCAGGTGGTTGAGAACTTCCACGAGAAAGCTCCAATACCATCGTAGAATCTGTTTGACCTATGCTAGGTGTTGAAGGAGATCCCTTCAGAGTCTTCAGTAAAAATTTCATGACAAGAATGAGGATTAGTGGTAACAAAGTATTTAAAAAATGTTAGAATTGAAGCCAAATTAAGTATCAAAATAAAGGACAATTACTGTGGGTATTTTGCATGCTTGGATGGTTGTAGTTGATTGCCCATCCTTGCTGGTCTCTCTTTCAGATTGACCTGCTGATGGATGGACCTCAAAGCTGAAGCTCCTCTCATCTTTGCCAGCATCATTCTCGCTTACATTTTGGGAAATTGACGGAACAGTGACCTCAAAGAGTGGAATGATCTTGCCCATGGACCCCTTGACTCCCTCTTTCTTGTCCTTTTCAGTTTGAGAAAGCACTGTGCAACTAATGACAGTTGGTGTAGCACAATTAGGTTTAACAGAATCTGTAGAACCGCCTCCACCTTAAAAATAGAAACATACAAGAAAAAAACTATATGATAAAAGAATTTTTATCACAGAAACCTCACTCATCTCAAACAATTGGTGAACAAATAGGACATTAAATTGGAAAAAAAATATTTACATTACAATGATGGGGGGAAATGTGAAACATCAAAAATAGTGCACAACAATAACAGGGTTCTTCAATTATAGCACAGAAGGGGGAAAGATGTAATGTGAGACCAAAGCGCCAATTTGATGACATTGGCTGGACTGATTCAGTTTATCAGCTGGAAGGCTAACTTTCAAGTTCTTCATAATTGCAATAAAAAAAAGCTCAAACTTGTTTCTGAAGAAGTAAATGATTTGTGCCCAGGATATTAGGATAATTTTGATTGTATTTAAAAAATTCCCATGGTTGATAATTAACTTTCCATATATGTGTACACACACAAATACACAACATAAATTGAAATTGAAATGAAAGATGTAAATTTATAAGTTCAGCTGGGGTTTAATTAAGCCATGGATGAAAACTCCGTAAGTAGAGAGGGTATGAGCATCTCTAGCAAGTCACACCTAAAAAATACACCCAATTTAGTCCCCATTAGTTGAGGGTCTAAGAAGGGTAGATTGAGTACAAACCTAACCTTTGGCATAATTTGTGCAAAGTGGCTGCCCTCAAATTTAAACCAACAACATCAAACCCATTTATGGGGACTAAACTGGATGTACTTGTGAGTTAAACATAAACAGAAAAAACAAAGCTAAAAATCATTTATGTCATAATCTAGACAATCAACCCCAAGTAAAATCTCTTTGGCATTCAATTTAAAACTATTGCAAGGACAGCAATGGCAATTGGCATGGGTTAAATGGCTATCCAGTTTAGCTAAGCAGTAGTGGATAGAGAAACTGGGCCTTGATGCAGCTAAGTTCAAGTGAAATTCAAATTTTAACAGTTAACATCTAAATCGTAGACATAAGCATCCTTTAATTTTCACCAAGATGCATAACAGCTGAATCCAGAGCAACTAAAATTCAGTTCCAGGGTGAGACTCAAATCCAAATCTGGTCTCTTGATGTAATGTAAATGGAAAGAGAAAATAACCTACTAATCTTGTCTCCAATAATGTCTTTATATTAAATAAGTCTTCCAACATAATTTAACAACCACATATGAAGAATCCCAAATCCATCATACTCTCCTTACTACCATTACATGGCATAGTTAAGTGAAGCGGACTTCCAAATAAACATACAATATTAAGGCACAATATATAGACAACCAATTCTAAAATGGGTAACGAAGTTTAACAACAAACCTTCACTGCTAGGAGCAGTTTTCACACTAGTAATAACTTGAGATACCATGACAGCTTCATTACCCTCATGATCATTTTGGCCCATATTGTTGGGCACTTCTGACAAGGTTTTGAATGTAGGTTTTCTGAGCACCTCACTCTTCTTTGCAACTAGTACTGCATCTGAGGGGGGAAAAATCAAAGCATCAATCAAGCGCAGACCTAATATCAGGGAAATATCCAATATCAGGACATATGACTTAATAATCTAAAAAAATGATCAACAAGAATTTGCAGAAAGTTTCAAACTTTGCTGAGTGAATTCATTTAATATTGGCAACATTATATATCACTAAATATTGGCAACATTATATATCACTAAATATTGGCATTAATAAAACCAAGCAATTTAGAAAACTTATGGGCAACACTAAATGGAGATAAAAGAGAAAACATCACTGAGATAACTTAAGCATGTGTAAAAACATAACATCAATCGCCAACAATATGGATCTATATTGTTTGAGAAGGGTAAACACAAAGCAAGGGAAAAAATGACATTGTCCATGAGGGTGGAGGCAAAAACAAATGACACAATGGCCTTCATAAAAATCAAAAATAAAAATAAAATAAATCAAAAATCAAGATAGTGGAATAGATCTTGTGGCCAATCCTCATGGGTATAATATTCATGGAATGCCCACATCTTCTAAAATAACTCTTTCTTCCTTATCTCACTATATCATAACTTACATGCAATATTTTAAGAACCGGACCGGACTGGCCTGTTCAACCGGTAGAACTGGTGACCAAACCCAGTTCTGGTCCAGATGATCCACAAAAACCAAACTAGGCCAAAAACCGGCCTTGTCTGCAAAAACCGGAAAAACCGGTGGTTCAACTAGTAAAACCGGCGAACCGGTCCCGATTCTCGACTAACCCGGTGGCCCTTTTTTTTTTTCCTTATATATTTATATATATATATATATATATCAAAATTTTGACTAAAAACTCTTACTTCAAGAGTCTCCCCTCTTGGGGAGGAGTCTCATTAGAAGCTTGAAGAAATTATGAAAGTCTATTCCTATTTATAGGAAAAAATTGTTCAAAGAGAACCTAAAAATTTAATGTGGGATTCGATCAAATTGTTTGAATCATATTTGATCAAAGGGAGAGTTGAAATTTTCATTTCCCTCTAAAATTAAATCTAGCATTCAATCAATTTGTTTGGAGGGAATGTCAAATTTTTTTAATTTCTTTCAAACTAGTGACTTTTTTTTTTATCAATTATGAATTTATTAAATATTATTAGTAAATATTATGCAGCACTTTTACTTTTTTTTTCAGTAATTATATATATATATATATACTTTATAATTATATTTTTAATTATATAATATTAATTATGACGTCACGGTTCAACCGCTTCGACCCAATGGTTGAACCAGTTACCCGTCCACCCGGTCCGGTTTTCAAAACATTGCTTACATGCAAATAGTTAATACTCTCTTTTGTAGGTTATATTCTGTAATATTATATAATTTCTCTCACACTGTCAAGTGGCAATATTTAAAAAAAGGCATACCAAGCAGACCAAAAGTTTTATTAGCTTCTATAAGATTGTTAGTGGGGAGGAAAAGAAAAAAAGATAAGAAAATAAGGGGTTGTTTGGGATGACCTAAATAAGTACACTTTTTGTCTTTTTACGAAAAGATGTACAGAAAAGTAGAGAGCTGATGTGATGGAAAAAAGATAAAAAGATGAATTATTTTTGAGTTGCCAAACTTAGCCTTAATAGACCAACCTGCAACTTCTGAGGATGTCACTTCACAATTTCTCTTCACAGCTGCTTCCTCGTGGTTCCCAGGAACAAGTCCTTCAGGACCACCAACCTCTTTTATTGCTGAATCACGAAGGATAGGGCCAACTTCCAACTTATTAGAAGAGTTGTCACTACTTTCATTGGCCTTCACTGCCTGTTCACTCCCACTTGCTATATTAGAAGTCTCCACCATTGTCATTGACTGACCAATGCTCGTGTGAAGCGATTCGACTGATTGTTCACTCTGGCGTGCTGAATTGCAAGTCTCCACAGTTGGCAATGATGGATCAACATGTGCCAATTTCCAAGCAGAACTATCAGATGCACCTTTTTCAAGTTCCAAAACAGGACCAAGCTCAATTACCCCTTCTGAACTCTCCTTCAAGGACAATAAAGTTGCTTCTGTTAGACCATCATCTTCAGTCTTTTTGTTTTTATCCAGGTGATCAATAACTTGATCTACAATAGCAACAGTCTCCGAAAGCAAGGGAACACCACCCACCGTGTCATGTGATGCCAAATTTGTCTTTTCAAAAGTAGCATTTAAAGCTGCAAAAGAGAAAAGGATTAGCTCACCATACGAATTCAGTCATTAACTCTATGAACATCCAAAACTAATAATTCAAAATATACCTGGTTCACTCCCGGCAGTACTAGTAACATACTCTGATCCATGAACTACCTCAGTGTTTACTTTCACAATTTCTCCTTGTGATGAGGGTTCAACCATCTTATCACTGCTGAGAGATTCAACAATCTCACAAACCATATTACTAGAATTGTTATGCAACTTGGCATTCACTTTCTCATTGAGAAAAATATCTTGGCTATACTGCACATCATTTGGGTTTGTGGCAAGATTTTTTTCACATGTTTGCATTGATCCAGCTACCATGGGAGATGAGGCATGATCTTCAGCATTCGAGTCCCCTTTATGGACTCCAGAAGCATCATCCACACCTTTCAAATTATCAACTGCGTGTTTTTCTCCAAGCAATTCAGTTGAAGAGCATGCTACAGTATTGTCTACCCCAGACAACAAAGATGCCTCAGAATTACTGACCGAAGCCTCACTATCTAATTGGTGATCACTTCCCTGAAAACAGACTTTTCTCTCAACAAAACTATTCTCTCCATGTGTTGCCCGATCACTCTTCAGCTCTGAACCGGCACAAATGCCAGCTTTCATGTTGCTTACCTCAATGGTATGCCCTTCGAGATTACTATCACCTTCAAAGACTTCAGGTAAGTCCTCATGCATATTTTCCCGAAACTGCCGATTAATCTCTGTGCCATTGGACAAATCCAAAGGATCGCATTTGCTGGCAGGGCCTGTAGAACACGGGTCCTCACTGCATTCTTCAGCTATCTGTAGGTCGCCATCACCCTTCAGTGGCAAACTGGAAGGTTCCCCAAAACTACTGATACCAGTTTCAACTGCATGGTGTTCTATAGATCCTTCCTTCGAAGAAGGTTGGTTCTCCAACTTGTGAGTGCCAGTTTCAAATGCAATTCCCACCAAAATTTGATCATCCACATCATTTTCCTTACTAAGAACATGGTATTCATCCACTGCCTTAACAGTGTCTTTGAATAAACAATTTGCTTTCTCAAAACTACTGATACCAGTTTCAACTGCATGGCGTTCTATAGATCCTTCCTTTGAAGAAGAAGGTTGGTTCTCCAACTTGTGAGTGCCAGTTTCAAATGCAATTCCCTCCAAAATTTGATCATCCACATCGTTTTCCTTACTAAGAACATGGTATTCATCCACTGCCTTAACAGTGTCTTTGAATAAACAATTTGCTTTCTCAAAACTAACATCACTTACCTGATGCTCAGGTTCTGGAGTGTTCAAAACCTGAACACTTGCAGCAATTTCCTGTGAAGAGGAGCCTATATCATCAATTTGCATCCCTGAATCAGAAGGATCTTTTTGCATTTTATTATCAAGAGATTCATTTACTGAAGTATCAACTTCAGCTTGATGCGCATCATCACATATTCCATGGACTACTGGAGTATTCTCAGTCACAATTATTTCACACTGTTCACTAGAAGCAATTGGATCTAACCCACGTGAACTTCCATGAGTAGACATTTCAACCTCTTGAGTTTGTGAAGTACCTTCAACATCATTCAAGCTAGAAATATGTTCCAGAAACTCATCCGATGGTAATGCAGGTTCTGAATCCAGAACATCTTTCACTTTGTCATCTTGCGTCAAATGAGGCTCCATTCGCTCAGTTAAGCCACCCAATTCATCACAAGCATCTGATTCCTCAAAGATAGTTTCTTCAGGGACCATCTCCTCCTGCCCAACAGATTTTAATAGCATTTCAACAGATTCGGAAGATGTCGCCTCGGACCAAACATTGTTATGCCTGGAAATGGAGCAAGATTCTGTAGCACTTGAACTAAACTCTATTCCACTACTTCCCCGAGAGAAATCCTCAATCCACTGATTGTCTTCTTGACTTGGTATGCCGAGAAAAACTTCGTTTTCAACCAAGCTATCAAACCTTAGGTGCCCCTGAAGGCCATCATCAAAATCAAACTTAGGAAGAGCATATGGACGCAGAACAGGAGAAAATTTGGAGCTCCCTTCACCAGCTAACTGAAGATTATGGCCTTGAAAATCATTGTCATCATAATCCATCGGTGTACCCTTACAAAATTAAAAAAGTAGGTAGGGAACAAGGAAAGAAGGGGGGAAAAAAACAAAATAAGGAATTCTGTACAAATTACAGACCAAGTTTCCAAGCCTATCAGAACCTTATAAAAAATATACAATATGATTACTAAAATACATGCCACAAGGAAACACACAACATATGCAAGCATGATTATTATAATTGTGCGATTCATGGTGATTTGGATCGTGCTATTGAATCGAAATTTGAGTGAGTTATGTGATTCAATTTGCAAATCGCTATGATTCATTGTGATTCAATTCTTTTTTCTTTTTTTCTTCCTCTTTTTTTTTGTTTTTTTTGTTTTTTGCTTTTGCTTCCATAAAATAAATGCCTGAAGCAGTGTCGTTTTCACCTCTATCAAAAAACAAAAAAAAAAATGAACCCTTAATTAATATCCATATACGTGATTTTATAGGTATGTACACATACAATTTAGTTATATTGATATTTATTTCATTTTAAACACAAGTGTGTATTTTTATATGTAGATACATATAAAATTATATATTATTCTAAGTAGATTGAATCTTATAATTCGTGATTCAATACGATTAACAATTCACTATTTTAGCAAAAACATTCACGAATTAGAATAACATGCATATTAAAATTCAACTATTGTTGCATATACATGGCAGTTGATTCTTGATTATCAAAATACTTGTATTAAAATTAATTTAATTTCTTGCACAAAAAACCCATACAAAAAGCATACACAGGACCAGATTATGTTATATCATAAAGTATGTCTAGATTCAAGAAGCAATACTGAGTTCCAAGACAACAATTTGACAAAATGACAAACATGCGTCAGCCATTTCATCATGCAAAGCAAATGGGGAAATAGACGAGATCTTGAAATGGTGCTACACTAAAAAGAGTGGTGGATCAACTACGGTCGAAAGCCCTAGATTTGATCGATGATGGAGGTGGTTCTCTTATGCTGTAAGTGATCATGGACAGAGGCAATGGAGTTAGAAGAAAGGTTTGGTGGAAGGAAAATGAGATAAGATGATTGTTCTCAGTGTTGGAGTAAGCTTCAAGATGTGTCAATCTTTCTATTGGTGTATTAAGGGTGAGATTCTTACAAGTGAATGTGGTGGTTGATTGGGGTGGTTGATGGTAGTTCCTTCTAAAAAGTGGCAGAGATTGTAACTTGACCCGAAAGTTTTTTGAAGGTGGTGGGTAACGAGAAAGGAGTTGGTTGCGATATGGAGGTGCAAGGGGAATCTACAACAACAATAATAGAATTTATGTTATGGGACAATGTTTGATGGGTTGGTTAGGGGACTAGTTTTTAGAGATTCTAATGTCAACAGAGATCCAGATGTGGGTTGATCGTAGTTGGGAAGTATCGTGGGTGAAAGATATCAGAGCTCAACAAAGCCTACAAGCTATAGACATTCTTGTCGGTGGAGGGGACAAGATGGGTCTGAGTTCTGGTTGGGTTTTAGAAAGCGGATCACGGATGGTGGTCTTTCCTTGGATGTTGCTACAAGTAGAAGGTAGGGACACAGGAAGTCTAGTTGTGGGTTTCAGGCTTGTCATTGCACCTTTGGGATGAAACTATCTTTCGAACCATCAGCGGTGTGTCTGATGGCTTCACCTTGGCCCATTGCAGAGGAAGCAATTCAACTAGAACTCACACCTCACTGAACATGTTATCCCTTTTTAAATTGGTTTATTCAGCTGAAAAAATGAATTAATTACAATATGGATTCCAACAAAACAAATTCAATAATTAGCATTGTATTCTAACAATGGTCAAGGTCGGGATTAGTGGATGGTGCTTCTAGATACCTAACTAGTTTGTCTCAAAACCTAGTTTGGTGTTTCAACCAATATTGGTGTTGTGCAAGGCCGTCAGTGCCATCAGATATGAACTTGTTAAGTAGATGAAAATAAATTATAATAAGCTTAATAGAACAGATACATACAAATAAAATAAAATAAAAAACACAAGGCATGTGCAATAATTTGTAAATTACAACGTGTTCACCAATGATATTTTCAAAATAGGAGACCAAATAGCTACTTGCTTCTACAGTGGTTCTTAAAATATAAGAAGAGTACGGAATTAATGCTATGTTCATTTGGGCGGAAAACATTTTTCAAGAAATGTTTTTCATATTTTGTACAACGGAAAACATTTTCTATGGTTAATAAAAAAAAAGCTTATTTGGGTGGAAAATATTTTCCACTTTTAAAAGGGAAAAAAACGTTTTCTGAAATAAAATTTTCTTAGTGCCACCATATTACAAACACTACCATCACTTCCACCACCACTACTTCCTCTTCGTTATTACAACCACCACCACTAATGCAACCATTATTACATTAATTTCAAAAAACGCAACCAACCATAACAAAACGTTTTCAATGGAAAACATTTTCTGGGAATAGTTTTCTATGCTGAAACAAACAGGACGTAAATGAAAACAATAAGACAACGTTTTCCAAACCACCCTCATCAATAAAAATAATAACCCAAAACCCCCTTCTGATTCACACTAAATTGCAAACTCTGCCTCAAATTCAATCCCAAAAAAATTTTGAAAAACTAAAAAAAAAATTACAGTTTCTAAAATTCAATTCACAATTCCAACAATTATCAACAAAAAGCCCTCAAATATTCCTCTAAATACAATCTCTATATCTCACCAAATGCTCATAAATAACGACTCAAATCGATAGAGGAAGTGAACGGTACCAGAAGAAGAAAGTCTAGAGACGCTACCTCCCTCCATCCGGAGACGAAATCCTGACCGTTTATCAACACAACCTCGATCGTACAGTCACCCGCTCCTTCATAACAACCGTAGGGTTTCGAACTCAAACTTCCAAGTAAACCCTAGTACACGATCAAACCACCCTGTATACAAAGTCGCCGTACTAATTAGGTTTCCGGTGAATCATCAGATACGAAAACTAGAGGAAGATAATAGATTGCTATATCGATAGATACAGAGAGGGAGGGAGAGAGAGAGAGAGAGAGAGAGAGGGGGGGGGGGGTGATGTATATATATAAGTGGGAGAGAGAGAGAGAGAGAGAGAGAGAGAGAGAGAGGGAAAATGTATGATATGATATCATATCGCGATCGAGTAAGGGGAGGGGGGAGTTTGGGAAAATAGTTATAATCTGACGGGTGTAACAGATGGGAGTATGCTACGTGGCAAGCCGATAAAAGGTCGGGCCCATCAAGGTAGCAGTTAAATAAGTCACCGTATTTTTTTTTATTTTCTTTTAGTGAATTGTTTTAGTGAGTTTTTTTTAGGGAGATTTATCAATAAATCCCAAAATTTAAATTTATGAACTAATTGGTCCTATTTTTATTCTATTAAACTGTTTAGTCCCATCTTTCTCCTATCACACATAGATACACACATATATTGTGAGGGGTAGACAGACACACACACACAGATACACACACATATACACACACAGACATATACACACACCCAGACACACACACACAGATACACACACACAGACATATACACACACCCAGACAGACACACACAGATACACACACACAGACACACACATTTCTCTGTTTCACAAATGAGAATGAATCTGTCACTACAGGATTCATAGCCTCACTCGTCTCTCAAAAATTTTGATAACTGAAGAGATCTCCCTACTAGCAATGTGAAAAATAATTGAACCTAAAACAGAGTGGCTTAACTACAAACATCAACATCGCCGTGTTCGACTCCGATTCCAACTCCTCCGCCATCGAAATCCACTCTCTAACCCGATCAAACCCCTCAAATCTAACAGTACACACCATTGTGCATCGTCAACAGTATTTCAACCACTGTTGATGATGAATGCTGATCGCTGGCCCTGATGTTGATGATGAATGTCGATCGCCATTACTGAAACCCTAATTTTGAAACCCTGATGTTCTCTCTCATCTTGATTTTGAAACCCTTTCTTTTTCTCTCTCAACCCAAATCCCAATTCTACGCTACCAGCAGATCCAAATCCAATAGGTTTTGGCGTTGTGGTGGTGTTGATTGAAGCCCATAGACTGAGGATCTCATTGGTAATTAATTATATGATATCACCCATCTATGTGGATGTATATATATATATATATAATGAATTTGATGAATAATGTTGGATACAGTGTGTGCTTCACATGGTTAATAAAAAAAAAATAAAAAAGGACCAAATATGGAAAATAGGATCAACAAGTAACAAACTTCCCCACTGATAGGACTTATCCGAACAAAAGAATAAAGTTGGGACTAATTGGTTTAAGAGTTTATGAAATAGGATTTATTGGTAAATTTCCCCTTTTTTTTTTTTGATATTTTTTTTTAAGAGTTTTATTTTATTTTATTTGTATATTTTTTTTAATATGAGCGTTACTATTAGTACTTATCAAAATTTTTTGAACCCTCACTTCTTTGGACCCAACCTTAAACCCTAAATTTTAATAATATTTTTTTAGACATCCCACTTATTACCAAATCTACCCATATTCACAATGAAATACATATCCACCTGAATCCATTCCAATTCCCTCTCTTCTCTCTCTCCTAATCAGTGATGTCTCTTCTCTCTCTTTTCTCTCACTCTCTCAAAACCCTTTTTGTTCATATGAAAAAATGAAGATTTTCTCTCTCTTCTCTCTCTCTCTCAAAACCCCTTCAAAACCCTAGTTTTTTTCTCTCTTTTCTCTCTCCAACATTAACCACAGCTAAAAAGTGGTTCCTGAAAACACAATGCATTTACTTGTGGGGTTGGTGTTCTTCGTCGATTAGGATTTCAACGACGTGAGTCTCTTTGGAATTTGTCATTGATTGGGAAATTCAGATGAGAAAGCGAAGATTGATGCGAATTGTAGGAATAGAAAACAATGTATATATATATGGAAAACTAATCTCCGTAATATTTCCATAATATTTTCAGAATATAAAACTAATCTCCATATTTTCACAATGAAAAGCACACCCACCCAATTTGTTTACCACTGTATAGCCGAAAAAATATATTTTGTTCGGAACTGTTTTATCGAACAGTAATGATCCTATCAATACTGTATGTCCGAACAAAATTTGTTCATCATTGTGTAACTTGAATCCATTATAATTCACAATTTAAAATAACATGAATTAAATACATTCAAAATACATAACTTAAATCCATTCCAATTCACTCTTTTCCATTCTAAGTTAGTTTAACAAAGAAAATTACATAACTGGCTATCTGCATTAATGTTCGGAACTTATGCATTGAATGAAAGGATTATGTTCAGTACTGTGTTACCGAACATAATTGTAACAGTCAGCAAACCAGTACCTAACAACTCGAATGAAACAATAACGACCGAAAACGACCGAGAATGATAATACAAGGCAAATACACGATCGAGAATGTTGTCCTCGTCCTCCATTGCTCTACACAGTGAAATAAGTGAGGAAGTATACGTTATACTTGAAGCAAAACTTTCAAGTTCAATAGCGTTGATGATGGTGATGAAGATGATACATTCAGGATTTAAGATGATTATGAAAAATAATAGATTTAGGGTTTATGTTAATTAGTTATGAAAAGTAATAGGTTTAGGGTTTACAAACATGGAATACGTATAGTTGGAGTTGGAGGTGGAGGTGGAGGTGGAGGTGGAGGTGGAGATGGAGGTGGGGATGGGGGTGTGGGTGGGTGTCCAATATTATAGAGTATTAGTTATTATTGATAGGTGGGTGTTCCATTTCATAATGTCTTTTAATGTAATTTTACTTTAGGGTATAATTGTAATAAAAAAATTTATAAAATGGGGGGTCCAAAGAATTTTGGCAGGTGCTAATAGCAGCACTCTTTAATATTTCATTAGATTTTTTTTGAAATAAGAAGACCAAAATACCCTCAATCTCTCATGTCCCTATTAATGTTGATTGTCATTATGTTTTGGTAATTCTCATGTATCAATATTTTAACTGTCATTATATTCATATTAATTTGAAATGAATTTTTATCATTGTATTGTCAATTGCATGATGTGAATATTCATATCATGTAATTGAAACGAATATTCACATTAATTTTAAATGAATTTTTGTCATTATGTTGTTAATTATATTATGTGAATATTCATACTAAAACATATGAATGTGAACATTCACATCACTACATTAGATGAGAGAGAATGTTCACGTATTGTAAACATTCACATCACTACATGCTGTAAATAAGAATGTATTATCAATTAAAAATATAATAAACGTTATTTTTAATGTGTCATCAATTAAAAATAAAAAGATTCACATAACTACATTAGATGGGAGATAATTTTTTGAAAAAGGTGTTGTGAACGTTCACATTAGATGAGAGAGAATGTTCACATTATTTTTAATGTGATGCCAAATAAAAATATATTAGGCAAATTGCATATACCCCCCTCGAGGTTTAACAAAATTACAGATATCATCTGAGGTTTGAAAAATTACAGATACCTCCTGAAGGTTATATTTTCATAACAAATTATGGTGCAATTTGTTATGAAAATATAAACCTCAGGGGGCAATTTGTTATGAAAATATAAACCTCATGGGGTATCTGTAATTTCCGAAACCTCAGGAGATATCTGTAATTTAGCTAAATCTCGAGAGAGGTATATGTAATTTGCCCAAATATATTCACATTATATAATAATATAAAATAATAACATCAATGTTATTTAATTTGTGTATGAAATTTCCTATGCCTTAGTCATTTCCCTTCTCTCTCATTCCCAACATTAAATATCAATATTACATATAAGGGTATAAGAGTCTAAGAAAATAGCGTCAATCAAGCAAAAAGACTTTATAAAATTTAAAAAAAAAAGTATAAGTACATGAAACAGAGTGGGTTAAAAAATTTATTCATAAACTTCTTAGGTTAGAATACTTCTAAATTAGATTTATCAATAAAAATCTCATTTTTTTAAGGTTTTTTTTTTAAAGGTCGTTATATTAAGATTTTATAGCATAAAAGACACTTAATATTTTCATAATGCATAAGGCTTCTCAAGATCGATTTAAGGAAAATTCGATCCAGATAATTTTCTGTGCAGATAAATTCTGAGAATTTCTCTAAACCTCTAACAGAATTTATCAGAGAAAATTTACACAGTGGCCAAAATCCTAGAGAATTTCTCTGGACAAAAATTATCTCCAGAGAAAATGGGTTGGCCAAAAAGTGGCTTTGAGTTCCAATTCTACTCAATTTTTCATATATTTTCAGTTCTAATTGGACCAATTTTGCAACATTAACTTTACGATCCCAAGCAATTGCTAGCAGTGAAACCTTTTTCAAATGCTTCCACTGGCACATTTTCTGTAACAATATCACATCTCAAGACATTCAATATGAAATTCCACAAAAACACATTAATGCATATCAGTGGAAGAGCTGCCCTATACATTTCCAAGCAATATAGGGCATCGAACCTTCCCGAACCCCATCAAGCTTTGAAAGTTGAGTGTAGACCACAACATTAGGACTCTCTCTTGCCTGTAGCAAATATCCATGACATTAGCACATATAAAACCAAAAAAAAAAAAACAACAGCAAGCCACCAATTCAATAGACAAAAAGTGTTTTAAATTATGCAAATTTTTAGAAGATTCATACCACCAGAGCACTTTGGTGAGTGACAAATATGACCAGAGAATTTCTCAAAGAAAATTTACACAGTGGCCAAAATCCTAGAGAATTTCTCTAGACATAAATTCTCTCTATAGAAAATGGGTCGGCCCAAAAGTGGTTTTGAATTCCAATTCCACTTAATTTTCTATATATTTTTAGTTCTGATTGGGTTAATTTTGCAACTTGAACTTTATGATCCCAAGCAATTGCTAGTAGTGAAACATTTCCAGATGCTTCCACAGGCACATTTTCTGCAACAATATCATATCTTATAACATTCAATATGGAGTCGTCGGCATCGGAGAGATTCCAGTATTGGAGAACGGTGAGCTCGAACTCCAATTCCACGGTGTCGATGTAGTAAAGGAAGGAGA